ATTTATTTATTTATTTATTTATTTATAAATCAATTTATTTACGTAATGACGCTACGTTGGTAAAACAACAACAACATGACCTTGCCACCCCCTCGCCGTGAGCACACACGAGATATACACGTGTGTTTGGCGGTGGCGGCGTCTGGGCGCGAATTAAATGCCACATTGTCGCTATTTCCCCCCTCCTTTATACTCACGTATCATCCCCTGAAAGGAAAGCGGGACGCCACTAATGGAAGCCTTTAATAATCAACAGCAGCGGCGAGATGACATCTGATACGCGCCGCACAAAAGCACACGATAAATGTTTGCTCGCAACGCCTAATTAGTTTGGCACGAGCAGTTTAGGCAAGGAAATACTGCCCCGGCTGCGCATCATACACTGTCACAAACAATAACCTGCCCCGCGTCTTCGCTTGACCTGAAGATTCTGACGCTAGGTGGCATTCTCTTGTTTACCGTTAAAGAGCGACGACGTATTTAATACGCGTTGACGTGCAGTTATTGCACGTTATTGCACGTAAGTCTATGCTAGTCTTGTGATGAGACGGTGCTATGGTCCTATGTATTTCGGGTAACAGCAATTAAGGCGAAAACTATCTAAGGCAGCAGCTTTCTAATTCATAGTCAGTGCCCACAGGTGCATTCACACACACGCTCGCACGGTCGCGTATATGAACGCACTCACGATATCCAGAGAAAAAGAAAACAGAGAGAAAGCAAGCAGATGAGGAGGAGTAAAAGGAACAGAGAGAGAATGAGCGCGACGAGAGAGAGCGCGCCAGCAACAGAGAGAGAGAGAGAGAGAGAGAGAGAGAGAGAGAGACCAAGCGAGAAGGAGAGCGAGAGAGCGAGCGAGAGGGCGAGATAGTAGAGGAAAAAGAACATATATATATATATATATCAGAAGTAGATAATAGGGAATAGGGAATAGGGAATAATAGAAGGAGTGTGACTTCAATAAACAAGGGAAATTCGTCATTTACTAGCCTTAGAATACCTACGATTTACTACGCGTAACTATTCCCTATTATCTACTTCTGATATATATATATATATATATGCAACGATTTTACGTCTAGTTGTGACGACGAATGAAGGTTCGACCACTGGATTGTAGTATAGGTGTCAACACAAGAAATAGCAACACGTAAAACCAGAACAAGCTGATAAAAGTGTTCACGCCGGGAATATGCCCGGGGCTTTTATTCGGCCTTAGTCAACAGGCTAAGGTGAACTAAAAGATGGTGCACAAAATCCCACACAGCGTTGTCGCTGGGGTACAGAAATATACACGATGAGCTGAACAGCTAAACAGTCCTAACTAACACCCTGTAGTGAGTTGCTTGCCCTGTGCAGGGGTTAACTAGGTACTGGTATGCTTACGTGACTCGTGAAGATG